TCCTGGTTCAACCTTCCAGGTTCAAAGTGCGACAACTATCTGAAGTTTCTGAAGGGGTCTAAAGGGGTCTAAAGGGGTCTAAAGGGGTCTAAAGGGGTCTAAAGGGGTCATATTCTCATAAAAGATTCCATGAACTCGCGGTCAAAACACAAAAGGCCTTATGGCCCACACGGCTTTGGAGTCTGGACCCTCAGAGCCACATGATCCACACAAAAGGGCCTACGGTGCACCGATGGGCCTAGCTCAGTTGGTACACCCATGAACTGTTGAAATATGAATCAGACCCAAGTTCGAAGCCAGATACAATCAGATCACCCGAATAAAATCATTCTGAATTACTTGCGGCCAGTCAGTTTAATGATGATATCTCAAGGCCATCGCCCTTTTTTTTTTTTTTTTTTTTGGGGGGGGGGGCCTCTCTGTGTACCCGGGCATCCTATTCCATCTCGTTACCTCGACAACCTCAGGGCCCAGCAGTCCCAGCCCAGCTACAAAAAAAAAAGGGGCCTCTCTGTGGCCCTCGTTGCTTGCGAAGTTTTGAACAGCAAACATCACCAACACACGTGGATGGACCGGAACGGAACGACAATGGGCCTCGCTGCACTACTCTCGACATGCACAAAAGATAAAAATCATGGGGGTGCATCTTTCCAGAATCTAGCGGAAGATTCACTCTCGTTTTGCACATTTCGAGAGTAGTGCAGCGAGGCCCAATGGCTACTAGACTAGCTGTTGGGGGGTGCAGCACTGCAGGTGATGTTTTTAAAGTGTTCTTTTCCGCGAACGCTAGCCAGGGGATTCAGGAGATGGGTTTTTTTTTTTTTTTTTTTTTTTTTTTTTTTTTTCTGTGAACACTTCAATCCAGATCGCAACTAACACAGACTCAACCAATGTACAGAGAGCAAGGAACAAAACACACACGCATTGCCTCGCGACTCACAATCAAGAAAGAAATACCTGGGGGTTGTTCGCCCAATTGCGGTCGTCTTTCTCATCTCATTTCCCCCTGTCTCGTTACCTCTCTCCCACTCCCTTCGATGGCCTCTCTCTCTCTCTCTCTCTCTCGCCTCCCTCTCTTTGGCCTCTCCCTCTCTTTCTCCTCTCCCTACCCTTTCTCCTCTCCCTCCCTCGTCCTACCTCTTGTCTTCTGTGACTGCTTCTTCACTTGGAGGTGGAGGCTTCTAGAACCTGCGGCACACTACAGCAAACTACAGAGAGTCAACCACTGGCTACGTTTCAGGGGGACGAAAAAAAAAAAAAAAAAAAAAAAAAAA